CTATTAATTTACCGAAAAATTGTTATTGAGAGAGAACAAGTTTGCAAAGAATGAACTCACGCCATAGCCCGCACAGCTCGCGGAGATGACAACAACAACAACAACAACACTCACCTCTTTTCCTTACTATCGGTTAACAAATTCAAACGTTTCCTCTTAAATTTCCTTATAAAACACATCGTAAACGCTTCCTTGTCTATTGCTGAGTTATGGATGAACTCAGGAGACTCAGGATTGCTAAGCTCACAACTACTCGAGGAATTACGAATAGTTTATTGACGTCATCAGCGTGCTCAATAGGAATATGAAGCACGCTCGCGCTATTGAATTTGATTAGGCGAATTTTCTAGCTATGTTATAATATATAGTTTGATTTCCAACTAAACTTCTTATTGTTATGAAAACTAAATTTTCTTACAGCTTGCAAAACAAACCTCACTATATCATTTGCGTGAAAAGTTGTGTGTGCGCGTCTTTCTTTCTTTCTTTCTTTTTCTTTCTTTCAGTTTTCCGGTTTGATACAAATTGTTAGATTGATTAATTTGCAGCTTTTTTCTGTGGAAAAAAAAAAACACCAGCTCGGCGCAAAAGGCAGTGTGTGTCAAAAACTGTTTTTTTTTCCACCTCATTTACTTACTTTAGGATGGCTGAATTTCTGTCCGTGCTCCTCGCTCCGTTGATAGCATTTCGATCCATATTTACAAGCAGGCTTTGACTGAGGAAAGAACAACAAATATCAGCTAATGACAAGACTCTATTAGGGAGCTTAAGCTACCAGGACAGCTACGGCCGCAAAAACGTCGTTTGTGAAGTACCTTTGTGTTATTAAAAGCTTTTTCACGATTCTTCCAACTCGGTCAGCTTGTCAAATATATGGGACCATTTTCATTTAACTTTTTGCCAGGCCAGACATGTGTTTGAAGGACTGAAAATAAAAACAAACCTTTTTAGGCGATTCTTCCTCAGCAGTGTCCAACGCTTTTCTTTTCCTTGTTTCTTTCTGTGGCTCATCATTTACTTTCTTCTTGTGGTTAACCTCTGATTTAGAGTCATTTTCCTCGTCAAAGTCATCAATATCATCGTCATCACTTCTATTTTCGTCATCCTCGCCATCATAATTGTTAGCGTCATCGTCCTTCACATCTCCTGCAGTATCTTCAACAACAACAAAAAAATGGTCGCATAGTGTCTTTAATTACCTTTCGAAGTGTTTGATTTGAAATAGGCTGTAACTACTTGTCGATTTTCCTGTGTAGCTACGTGGCGTTTGTCTAAATTGGGGTCAAAATTTAATGTCATTTCGTAGGGTGGAAAATACGGTACAAAACTGCCGCCTTAACCTCTTAATTGGGTAGCTCTAAGTTCCAAACTGGTCCAAATTAACAAAGAGTAAACATGAGAAGGCAGAGTAGACAAGTTCAATCCAATAACTCGTCGATGTCTGATGAAGCGATGCTCTTAACTGCTGCATAGACAGTTTTCTAGCCAGCATTTACGCACACAAAAAAAGTAATGTGCTCAAAACTTTGTTCTCATTTCCGTTGCATGTGAACTAAAATATTTAATACCATACACCAAATTTGGCGATCTCTTCGAACAAAGTTGTTCCAGAAAGGTTCGGCAGTACCAAATTAAGTTTTTTTTCTTTATCATATATAAAAAAGCCACTCACTGTTAGATGCTTTTGAGTTCTTGAATAAAACCTGTGAAAAATGCAACAGTAATTGAATGAAAAAAGACTAAAAGCGTAATGACAACGCTCAGCATGAGTTCGAATCCAGTATTTTTTTTAATGCAGCTCGGAATCTGATTCACGGCGAGCTACTTTATCAGGTGATACATGGCCTACACCGCAGGCGTATGTTTCGAACAAGCGAGCCGCGTTAAGTGTGTAGCGGCCTGTGTGTGATTGTGAAAGCAAACTAACAGCTCATTAAAATGGAGATCTAAAGTTGTTTCCTACCACTACTTTCTACAAGGCGGACGCCTCTCCCGGGCAACAGTTATAAACATTTCTAACAGTGGTCTCAAAGAGTTAAGTTAAACACTATTAAGCAGAGCGAATTCTAGTATGCGCTGTGGCAGAAAACACCTGCAGTGACCTTATTTGGTCATTTTGACTTCACGTGTGAGCCTGGGACGGTACAGAAACGAATTGAACTCTGGGACAGTTTTAAGGGACACAATTGCTCTTATTAGCTATTGCAAGGTTGCTGGCAGGGAACTGGGTGAAACTTTGACCCCCCCCACGAGCGTTTCAGGTGGGCAACTTAAATACGGCGATCAGTTCTTTTTCGTGACAGCGTGGTATAGAAAAAAAATATGCGCACGCAAAAATGGCTGTTGGCGGGAAATTTCTGGGTGCGACGAGTGATTCATAGAAACCCCTTTCAGAGTCCTTGTTATTGTTTGCTTGCTGTCTGCTGCAAGGGAAATTTTCAAAAAAGTTTAAATGTCTTGTGAAATATGACGTGTGTAGTTGCAAGTCGTCTTCTCGGTG